TAAATAACTCTAAATCAAATAAAATATTTTCTGACGAAAGCGATTTAATGAAATTAAAATTATTATCTATACATAATATAAATCTCATTATTCAAAATTATTTAAAATGATAATTTAAAAATAAAAGAAAATAATAAATCTTTTTCCATCAATAAAAAATTTTACATATGTCCGTAGTTTGATGTTTATTATTATAATTATAGGTAATATATATATAGATATATAGATAAATATTAGTTTATAGATATAGACTAATAGGTGAATTATCTATGGTTTATAGATACAGACTAATAAAAGAAGAAAAGGGAAATTTGGAGATAGCTTCCGACTGTATATCTGTTAATCGCTAGTACCATAGATTTACAGCTGACCGACACTTTTTTGACATTCACAAGCTAAGCTTTTGTAGTCCAACGGTTAGGATAATTGGCTCCCGAACTCCCAGCGAACGCAGATTACAAGTTTGGAGACATTCAATTTTTACTATTTTAGCAGTAAGTTAATGATCATTCCCTTAAGTCCTCACGTGTTAGATGTAACTATTTTCAGCAATCAGTTGGGTTTTGGGAGAGAACAATGAGAAAAACCACGGAACTCCTTGGGAAACAGAGCATTCGAACTATATTTAACAACCAGATCTCGTATTGATTAGAATAAAGAGAAAATGATTTGCTTCAATGCTGTTGTCAACTAGCGTGAGTGTGAAGCAATAGCAGCTTCTTGATTCAGTCAATCAAAGACAGCGCACACTACTCTGTTAAACTATTTTTTGTGCCCCTTCCATGTAGCACTCGTTCCGAGCTCTAGCCAGTTAGTAACCAAGATAACATTGTACCATTTGTCAAAGCTATCAAGGAATTGTTTGTAATGATTGAGAGTTGCTAGCTGAGATACAGATTGTATACAAAGAACAAACCTTACTATTTGCATAATGTCAAGGAAAAGCATTGTAACAAAAACTGATTGATTCTTCAGGTCTAGAAAGAATGTTAGAATAGTAAATAAATATTTGGACTTTGTTCTGATTGAACCCTATTTAAATGTAAAAGTTGCTGAGAAATGAGCATTGTTAGCTGCTAAAGATCCATGTCCATCAGCTCTGTCAGCTGCTAAGGATCCATTTCATATGAGAGCATAGAAGCAGATGATAAGGAAGGAAGATGATCCACCTGGTATGCTCCACCACTTACAATGGTCATCAAGGTTGTAATTGGTTCTGCAGACAATAATCATAAAGTCTTCCAACTTTTTCATAATCTGCCTAGTGGGGACTCAAGGAAATGATCATCAACCAACCAAAGGCCACAATCGCGGAAGCGTTTGATCTTCTTCTCAAAACCAGTGATATAATTATTATGAATTATGACATGCGTTCCCTTGGTTTCCTGCACCCATGTCTGGTTCTTGAAGTATAATCCACCTGTTGGGAATGCTGTCTGGGGAAGCAGGTAGAGATCCACCTGCATAAAATATCATCAATGTTTAACAATCAGAAAGTGAAGTCTCTCTTCTAGAAATATCTAATATTTGATCACATACTATCAATTTATGAATATCAGAGAGAAGCGTCATAGAAGCACAGATTTCACACCCAAGAGTCTTTACATGTCCAAAATGAAAAACAACAATTTGCATTGGATCAGAAACGAAAGGGGCTGCCCGATTGTTAATGTGACCAATGGAAAGTAGGACATAGAGGCAAAAGAAATTTCTAAATAACCCTCAGACGGAATTAGCCATAGATGTTTCCTTAGCATTATGATGAGCCAAATTTCCATGTTACAGGTTACCAAAAGAAGCAACTTAAATAACATGAGTGAGAATTTATTTTTGAACATACAAGCACTATGCCTAGTGCTAATCAGAGAGGTACATCAATTAACAATGCTTTTCTGGATATGACATTAAGAACTGGTAAGGCATATTGTGAGAACCCTGAAGACTTAGGCACCAGCCTTAAAGGTATGTGTCAAGGCAATATAGGGAAACATGAAAATAAGGCACAAAATTTTCACTTAACAAATGAATAAAAAGGAAATAAACAGATCAGAACTATTAGGCATACACTACAACCCTGAACTAGTAATGACATGAAGGTGCAAAAACACACCTGTCCAGCAGTTCTGTTTAGTGCCCAGTTAAAAGCAGGCTGATCATTTGCTTTCTTTGCTTTGGACCATGGCTGAGCTTGAAGCTCCTCAATCCATTCCTTCATAACTAGTTTTGCTCCATCCGTGGGACGCAGGAAAATCATGCAACTACATATGTAAGTGCGACCCTTTTTCCCTGGAGGTGGCAAATCATGGGAATGGTTCGGAGGCTTCACCTGATCAACCAAAGAGAAGAAGAATGAAGCAATTTTATGAGAAAAGCAGCAGTGGCAGCAAAATATTGCCAGGGCAGCCTAGATTCTGAGGGTCATGGGTGACCATTAGGTTAAATTACAGGATATAATCTTCCATTCTCTACTTTATTTTTACTGCTACTCCCCAATTTCCACAAAAAGAAAAGAAAGACATACATAGCCTTGCATCACATAGATGAAATTTAACCAGCATTCATAGATTAATCTTGGTGACAATAGAATTGCTTGAGACAAGCCAAAGTTCATTACTTTCTTAAAATCTAGTAGAATTGCTTAATCTTAATGAATATTTTGAAAATTCTTGCATAACACATTTTACAAACATTGAGTGCTTTCGATCCTAGTCCTATGCTCTACCATTCCAAAGATGACAGTGAGCTTTTTTTTTTTTTTTCTGTAATACGGTCAATGGTATCTGAGGTATCGCTGGGTTCTAATCCCTTTCCAAAGATCTTAAAGACTCACTCTCTACATTTAGGATTTTAGTCCCAAAAGGCTCCCCACAAAGACTGATAAGCAGAGGACTCCTCTCCTTCCTTACCAAATGGACTCTGATTCAGGGTTTAAAGCAACCTGCCTTACCAATGGACTAACTCTGGATTCAGGGTTTAACGCAAAACAGATTAAAACTATAAAGACAACATACCACAGCCATGTCATCAGTGAAGTAAACATCATGATTTCCTTCCAAATAACGAAAGACGTCACCCAACCACACCATATCGACATCATTATACATAACATTATACCCAAGCTCCAAAATTTGCAACAAATGCCGAGGCCGCCTGGAAGTAAAATTGAAGAATCCCTAAACCAAGCAACCGATCAACGTCATTTTTAAAAAGTTGAAAACAAACGAAACTCAGATATGAAATACAGGACTTGAACCTGAGAGCCAAATTTATGAGCAGTTTGTGAATCAGGTGCGGGCGGGACCAATACGGCATGGCCAGGCCACTTCTCATTAACCTTATAAAGAGTAGCGTAATCTTCAGCTATTACAAGCACTTTGTCTTGGTGCTTTTGCCTGGTAATACTAATCAACCAATTGTTGAGAAAAGGTAAATAAGGTTGGCTCACGGCGCAGACGATTACTGTGCCGTTTTTGGCAACGAACGATGCCGCTTCGGCTAAAGTATAGTCTCGCCATTTGGAAAGAGAAGAGGCCTTTATTGAGTTAGAGAACATGGATTGGGGCATTCCCGACCAGGGCAAGAATACTCCGAGGATTACCATGAGAGAGAGAAGAATAATTAGGCCGGTTGGGCTGAAGATCGAAATGGGTCTTTGAAATGTTGATGAAGGACGTGGGGAGATTGGGTAGGCGTTTGAGAACGGATTGTGGATAGGTCGTTGGTGCAAGAATGCTGACATTGTTGCTGGAATAACAAAGATCAGAAACAAACAAGTTTATGTAAATTTACATGTAAGAAGAAGAGTTCAATCAGAAACAAAGAGAAACGCGTTGGAGTGAGTGAAGGAGTGGGAGTTTGGGTTTAAGGAAAAGTGTTCTGTTTGAGATCGGATCTGTATCGATGAAGACGATAGGCTTGTGGTAGAAACAAACAGCAACAGAGGAATGATTGTGGGTCGGGTTGTCGTTGTTGAGTCCGAATTTTGTTCATTATAATAGTATGCGGGCTTTACCGCCTTTTTCGGGGTCATTAGTATTTATCAGGACATCTAAATATAATGAATCTAACGGACATGGGGCATGTAAAGCGCGACACATGGGTTTATCATTTTTTACTTAAATTTATTTTGGATTGATCTTTCATTTTTTCAATAAAATGGAATCTTAAAAGTGATTTAAAAAAAAATTCTTTTCTGATATCTTTTTCAGTGTCAATATTTGGTTGATTTTAATTGACAGTTTTGACATTTTTTCATTTCGATGGGAAAAGTTTGTGATTTGTCATTTTAATGTTCGTTGGTTCTGCGTTTTGATGATAATTATACTTATTACAATAAAAATAATAACTCGAGTGTGACTCAAAAATTATTGTAGATATGAATCATTATCCCTGAAAATGTTTCATGACAAGTTTACAGCTATAACTTTTCATCTTATGCAATATCATCATCCTTATTATTATTATTATATTTTATTAAAATTTATATAAAAATTAAATTAATCATTATTAATAATTTAAATTTAAAAATTTAAAATAACATAATTTAAATTTTAAATTTCATATTGTTTGAATTAGAATAATAGTAATTGCTATTAAAGCTTGGGACAACTCCTTCCAGTTATGCTGATTTAATCTTAACTTATGAAGTGAGTTTAGATTATGATGTGTGGTCTTAATCAAAATATCAAAAATTTGAATGAAAGAGATTACGATAGTCAAAAATTCGAATCACTCTTCTTCTCATTAAAAAAAAATTCTTACTATTATAAAATAATAATAATAAATATATCTTATAATTTCTGTTACTAGATCCAATTAGTAACTTACTTTAGATTTGCAACTAAAAATTATGACTACAATCATCAATCACCATCATGAATTACAATTCATTTTAATGGAAAAATTATGGCCATTCTTGGTAAATTCAGAAGCATCAACTTGAAATTTTCTTTTTCCACTCAAACACAGTCATTATCACAAGAAAAAAGTAAGCTAGAAGATAACCTGCAATGGATCAATTTATAGGATCATTGATGAAGGCTGAAGTAATTATTGAGAGAGTGGAAGATGTTACTCATCTTCGTTATCAGATATTTTATACATATTGCTCATTATTAAAAATCCAACTAAGAGAACTGAGATGAAAAAAAAAGAAAGAAACTTTCATCTTGAGCAACTGTTAAACTACTAATAAAGGAATCAACTACGGAACAACAAACAAGGGAGATAATTACAGGCAACTCCATCCGCATGAGGGAGAGATGTACATCCTGGCGCCATTGGCTTGTTTGGTAAAGATTTATGCACCATATCCAGCCTTTAGCTTCGGTGTTTTCTGTTTGACAAAGAAAGCTGACAGCATACTTCTGCTTCTAACAGGTGCACGTATAATCTCATGCTTTGGGTTGTCAAATGACCTGAATGCTGTCAAAGGTTTGGAACCCTCCAACTCCTGCAAAAACAATACTTTTTCATAAACATGCCACAAGTAAAGGAATATCCACCCGAGACGGACTTGTACCAAAAAGAGGGTATATAATCTCTTAATGAGAAATCTGCATTAGCAAGTAATATAAAGACAAGCAGGTACTCAAAAGTATCCATGCTGATGCAGATGCCTATATTAACCACACAGACACTCAAGATCTGAAGATATGAAACAAGGCCACTTGGAGCAGAAGTTAGTTCCTATAAAATGATTTGAGTAAGGAATAAAAGTTATAAATTCCAAAAAACCTAATACAAGTTGATAATTAAACATTTTCCAGAAATTACAAATGAACAGAAAAGAAAAGCCTCGCTAACCAAATGAATAACCAAAGATCAACTGCTATACTAAAAGAAACCAAGTAACACTTCAGAAAAAAATCCATCAACTCTTGTTTTAACCAAGAAGCATCAATTGAAAGGATGTCAAACATGTCTGTCTGTATTCTTGTAGTTTGAAACATTACCCTATATGTGATACCCAATGTTGGCACGAGTGCATTAGAAGCAGGAAAAGGCGCTGCTGAAGAGTTTGCCCTCGTATTATCTGCATTTTCTGCAAGAATTACAGTCAAAATACAAGTCTTGTCATACAAAGCCTAATCATGAGCTGACTCTTTTATCATACAATAACAGTGATATGAGCTGCTAATCTAATACACATACCCAATAACTGGAAAACCTCAGAACTGCTGCCTGAAGGTTTTGAGATTTCATTGCTGCACGTAAGCAATGTCAATTACTTCTTGCTCTCAGTAAAAGATTAGAAGAACTACACTGAAAGGAAAATACAATTATCCATCAAACAATGAACTGTTTGGCCAAACTAACCTTGCCAAAGTTTGTGGAGTCCCTTTCAAAGTAGACTTGGTTTCTGAGGCCAAGTGCCATGAAAGAGTTTTTGATGCAGGAGTACCTATACTTAAAACATTTAGTAAGTAACATGATATTCAACTTCTTCCTAAGAGAAAGGATTGCAAACAATGCAGTGAACAACTAAAAATAAAAGACTCCCTGCCTACTTAGAAACCTTATACCTGAAGGCTGAAGACGAGATTTTGCCTGGAAATAGTTTTGCCTAGGATCTGTCTGTATGTGTGGACTAAAATGTACCTTCTTATTCACCGAATCTGGCTTAGAGGAATCACAAAGGAAAACAACCAACAAACAGGAAAAAGGAAAGGGAATAAGAAAACATACTAAAACTTTTCACCACTAATTAGCTTCCAGAAAAACAAAGGCTTCTATCAACTACTCTTACTTGGTAAAATGTAGTGCTTGTGGTGTCTTGGGATAAATGCCAACAACTGCTGCTGCCTGAGACCTTCTTTATCCGAGTATGTTTGGCACGTAAGAAGTTGCTAATATTAACAAACTAAATAAGTTCAGGCCCATCCATTCAATATTGTTCTAGTACTAGCATACTAAACCAGAGAACCAGAAGAGTGCAAAGAGATTACCTGATTTAAACAAGTTGCCTTTAGCTCCATGGTTGACACTTCCAATGTTTGCTGCTCAAGAAGATCAGTTAACTTGTAAGCCACAGTGCCAAGGTGATCAACAGCATTAACAAGAGCCCGTACAGCATAATCTTTCAGGTTGTCCAGTACCCTAATGGATGTCTCCCACAAAGAAAAGGAGTTGCATTATGAGAAGATAAAGGATGCAAGTAACCCAAACGCATAAGCATGCAAGCTTGATATAAGAAACATCATGAAGGCAAGCCATTGCTTGGCTCTTGTGTAAGTCAATCATGTTGTAAAGTCACTCATGGTATTGCTAGCATGAAAATGAAAAGGCTGTCAAACAAACAATGAATGAACTAACCAACATCTTATGAAGTAAAACACGTAGCCTTACATCTGTTTCTGCTCACTATGGAGATATGACTTTTCACAGTATTCTGCAGCTGAGTAGAGCTGAGGCCTTAAGTTCTTGAGCTCCTGCAGAAAGGTATAGGGATAAATTCTCAAGTTGTGTAACAATGAGATGCTGGAAAGCTTTTGAACCACATAAGCCCAAAAATTCACAAAAACAGGCTTTGAAATCAACACCGACGTCAAGTTAGCAAACCAAATAGAGCTCTCAACTTTTGCATACATTCACACATATCAGAAGGTCTGGAACTGACTATATATTCAGATTATCAGATGCATGCACTTTCCAGTTTTCTTCTAATATAATATTCTTACATTATAGAACATAACAATCTCAGAAAGAGCTCTTTCATTACCTCATCAATTCAATTCAATTTCTACTTGAGTGATAGTACGGCTCTAACCTCAGAAATGGAAATGAAGCAGTCATTGTTCTTCAATGAAAAACATAAGCCTATACCCTACTCACCAAATCGTATTTTCTAGCGAATTGAAGCAATATCTAACTTAGCATAGATTCATTCATTGCTATAACTGTAGTTTCTAGCTTTGCAACCTATCTAACTCTTAACTCAGTCATAAATGCTAAGGTCTTCAGTACTAAACCGTCAACTCTCCTTATTAAGACGCCAAAAGAACAAAAAAGAAAAGGTAAAACACACACACACAAACAAATTTCCTAGCCAAACAGAAGCCATTTTCAGTTCATCTTCTCTCCCGCACATTAGGCGTCAGCAATCTAGCAATGACTTCGAAGTCAAACAGTAACTAAAACGGAACAAAAAATTCACAAATTAATCAAATTTTAAAAAATTAACCAGATCTGGTCCCAAAAGATAAAAGACTCGTAATCAAGAAATGAACCTGCAAGGCTTTGACGAAGTTCTTGCTACGCTCCATGGAGACCTCGTCGAACGTCATGGCGGCATTATCAGGCCTGGGAAACTCCACTTCCATTGCGGTCACCTCCTCTTATTGATTTCGACAATAAAAATTTTCCAAACCCCTAAATCTCAAAACCATAAAAAGAAAAAAAAAGAAAATTCAAGAATGCACAATAATTCCCAAAAAGAAAAAAAAAAGTGAAGTGCAGTTATTAAACAATGTAAGAATTAGACTAATGGAGAGATTTAAGGGGTGGGGGGAGGTTAGGTTTTTGGTGGATGGTTAAGCAAACTTGAGAGAGAAAGTAGAAATATGAAAGAAAAGTGAAGTAGAAGCAATTCCGAAGATTTGTTTAAGAATTTTTGGAGTTAATGGCAAGGGAAAATGACTTTACAACTTCTTTTCCATATTGGAGGGGGAGAGTTACTGTTGTATTTAATTGCAAAGCGTCTCTCTCTCTCTCTCTCTCTCTCTCTCTCTCTCTCTGATGACTGTGCCTGTGCGCGCGTTTAATGGGTAGTTGACAGACTTCACTCAATTCGGTGGTTTATTTTATTTTATAAAAATAATAATACAATAGCTAACGGAAGTTGTCGTTTTCGAAAGAAATGGAATCAAGAAGACGGTTTTGCCCCCCAGGTGGAGTGAGAGCTGGTCAACTGAAAGATTAGAGTCAAGTTGGATTTTTAGATTTTAATCGCATATTAGCAAATCATTTCCTCCCTTTTCCGAAAAAATGAAAAGCTATTGACTGAAATTTATATAAATTCGATGTGGGAGTTAGGTCCGTGGCCAACACTATAAATCACGGTGCAATGATGGTTGCGAATTTACCATCATGAAAAAATGATGGTTATGGGACTTAGGAGGAAAGGTGGGTGGCTCTTATGGAAATAGCTTTTCGCATCACAGATTGATGGATTTTTGCATCAGGCTGGCATATACTAGTAGTCGTGGAAGAAACTTTGTTTATTTTCTGAAAAGCGAAAGGATCCCTAGTTTTTATGCAATTTCTTTTAAGTGGAATTATCATAAGGCGTATGCTTGTTCCTCTTCTGTTTTTCTTTTTTTTTTCTTTTTTTAAATGACATAATTATCGAAATCAACAAGAAAATGCACCTGTGATCATGAAACAACTAAGCTAATGACATCTCAACTTTTTCACCTTCAGAAGCCTGCTTTAGAGCCGGGAAAGAAGATTGCCTGAAACTTTTCCAGAAGAAGTTAATGGACCCAGAGTACAAAGCACCTTCAGAAACTCAGTTGAACAAGATTCAGATCTTAGTATTTACTATTGTCCCTTTCACTTATCTTGATCAGGAAGATAGTCAATTATGGCTACAATTACTTACACCATACTTGCACTGTACAAGATTATACAATATTGGACAATGTTACACTATATTGTTTGAGGTCATAACACGAGAATATAGTCACAATTCCCGATGCTACCAACCAGATACAAGCCAAGCGGTAACGAGTGCTTGCTTTGTGATCTAAAGCAAGCTTTACACATTGAGAATTATCTCAAGCTATTGCTCAATGTTTACTCAACCATGACACACACTATATACCAAAATTTGGAAAGAGCCTTGCTGTTACTATGTCCTCTCTGAAGATGAAGATGATGAAATCTCAAAGTAAGTTGGCCTTGGTGTAGAGGGGCAACCAATGGTCCGGATTATATCCTCCACAGCTAGCACATGAAATTTTGGGGGCGAATTCATAGCAATATTGTCAACTCGGTGCTCAAAGATTTTACCATTCTTGTCTAGTTTGTATTCAGAAGTGCCATCAAATCGACCACGGCTCTCCCATGGGACTCGTGGAATGCCATGGACAGTCCAGCGAACCATTATGACATTCTCCACAGGCTGCCATACACCAACAATCTCAAGCCAGAGAGCCTTGAAAAATATCCTCCCATGGAATCGCAGTGCCCAAAAGATTGACTTGTAATTGTCAATTCCAATGAAAGTATTGAGAGGATCTTTAAATACAATATCATCCCTAAACAGAGGAGGAGCAACTTGTCAGAATATGAAGTATTAAAGATGGACAGAATGCAAAAGGACCAAACACATGCTTTGTATAACATTTAATGATTATGAAGATGATAAGACCATAAAAGCTGAAGGCCAATAATCTACTAAATGAAATAACCTAATAAGCAAACTTTCTCTCCTTCCCTTACACAAGTGTCACATAGAAATGCATATGACTTCAAGCAAGCTGTTTTGCACTAGCAAAGACAGCTGCACGGCAAATATAGGTTATTATGCATATACAACATAACTTTGCCAACCATCAGCATAACATGAACATGCATCACAGAGCAGGCTAACTTCTAGGTCCTCGCTAAGAGCCGAAGTTTCTCCCTTGCACATACACACTCAACAATCAACATTCAGACCAAAACCAACATTTAAAGAAAATCCAATTACAAGCCACTCCATCAAAAACATAAGCTTAGAGCGCACGTATATGGGCTATATACAAACTTATGGCATTACTTTTAACCTCTGACCATTAGAATTCAAAAACCAACAGTAATTAATCATTTTAGTTGCTAGGGAAACAAAAGATTATATTGGGCACTATTCCACTGAATTGATGCAAAATTTTCAACATTTGAAGCCAAGTAAACTTTAAAAATTTTAAATTATTCTACACAATTATCTACTCTTTCCTCCATTTCAAAGCGATCAGAATACAAAAATAAGAAGGAAAAAAAAAGAATTGAATTCGAACCTGTAAATATCGAAACTAAGCTCCCTGTAAAAGAGGTCTGGGAACTCCTCTCTCAAAGTCCGAATTGCGTACCCCATATTCACGTAATAATTCTGCTTCTCCTCTTCCTCTTTACTCGGCTTCGATCCTCGCTTCACTGGGGCCGAAAATTGTCCGTACAACCTCAAGCTTTTATTCGAACCTGAAACCATAGCACCAACATCTTTAATACCAAACCTAACCTTAGCCTTCGACCAAATTTTCTCGTCATCATTCTTTGAGATGGTGAGGCTCTTGAGGAATTTAGGGCTTTGGTTAGGGTTAGAGAAAATTTTTGCAGAGGCGGTGCAAATTTCAGGTGAGTGCAAAAGAAATGCCATCTAGAAGTAGGATTCCAGAGGAAATTTTACAGCAGAAGAACGTGAATTAGAAGAACGAAAGGGTATGAAATGCCATTTTTTGTTCTACAGAATAAAGTAGGAAGTTTCCAGGATAGGTTTGCTTGGCTAGCGAGAAAATGTGAAAAGCAGAAGAGAATAGTTTTGGATAAATGAGTTTTATATTTTTATTTGCAAATTAATTAGTCCTTTTCGTTTTCCGTTAGTCAACTGTGATTGGAGGAGTTTCGGATAAATACGGTAATCGAATCAAATCCAGACTATTGATTATGGCCCTTAAAGACTTTATGGGCTAGCCCAATTACATTTTCTTTTGTCTAAAATAAAAAAAAAATTAATGTTTAAAAAATTCTTAAATTATTTTAAATTTTTTTTTTGTATTTAATAAATTTATAATATTTTTATTTTGAATCAAATAAATTTTTATAATTAAGAGTAGATTAATTATCATTAATTAAAATATTTATTATCATTTTTTATCCTTATGATGTTAATATGACATATAAAAAATGAAAAATAATATATAATCAAATTTTCATTCAACGTCATCATTCATTATGACATGTTAATATATTATATTAGTATTAATAAGATAAAATGATAAGTGATATTATGACTATGTCAATTATTAGTTATAAACATTTATTTAACTTAAAATAACAGTATAAGAACTTTATTAAATACAATAAACATATAAAGATTTATTTATATTTTTGTAAATAGTTTAGGGGTTTTTTTTAAATATTGTTCTTTAAGATTTCTTATTCTTTTGTATTTATGTAGATAATCTTATTTTTATAAGAAATAAGTTAAAAATATTTGAAGATTCAAGAATTTAAGACCAGTGACATGGAACTCATGTATTATTTTTGGAGAATTTAGGTAAATCTATTAACACCCATGGAAATTGGAACAAAATTGTCCAAAATTCAAGGAGATGAAGAGAAGATTGATTCAATTATGTTCAAGTCTTGTTGAAGATACTTGACTTGCACAAGACTTGAAATCTTATTTGCGGTTGGGATTGAGAGTTGTTTACATGAAGAATCCTAACAAATTACACATGATGAAGAGGATACTTTGTTACATTAAAGCTACTCTTGACCATGGGATTTTTTATTCATCCTCTATTTCAAATTGATGGATTATTGTAATAGTGATTTACAAGAGATCTTGATAATAATTGGTTTTGTATTCTTTTCGATAAATACAATTTCGTGGTGTGCAATCACCTCTTACATTTGCTTTGTTGTATGATTGAGAAGATTGTTGAAGTAACTTCACTTGGAGCAAAAAGATGTTACAAAGTGACATCCATTTCATTTGTTTTATAAAACTTGTTTACGAGTTTGACTCCTACTCATTTTTTTTATTTTTGTTAGAAATTATAATCATTATTGTTTGTAAAAACGTACATTCAATAAAATATCGCTTAAAGACAAGTTCACATCTGAATATCACATTTCTTATAAAAACCTTTTCAAAAACAGTGCAAATAGCAATCCAAAATTGTATGATATTTGTAATAATTTCATAACATATTAAGAAAAATGTATTGAATAAAAACCATAAAGATAAATTATTTTTTTTTATTTTTCTTGTTTTCATTGCAGTCAACCTTAATTATAATAAAAACAAATCAAGAACAGTGTAAAACATATATATATATATCTATATATATATATAAAGAAAGTACCAAGAAAGTTGTTCTTGATTTGAAACAAAAAAACAAAAAAGTATGATGATTTCCAGCCAATCTCATGGATAGATCGTGGGACGTGAGAATTTGATCTGGATCCCACGTTGGGTCAAATCATTTGACCTTTATTGGGCTTAGGGCTTCTTTTGGGCCTATTTTGAGTCTCATTATCAATTGGACCCTTCTCCGTTTTTACCTCACATGAAAATTTAAAGAAACAATTTAAAAACTCTAGGCCATTCGGCTAAAGAATGTGAACCATTTAAAAGGTTAAATAAACAAATGCGGCCCGTTCCCAAAAAGAAAAAAAAATATTAATATGTTCTTCTTTGCTCAAAAATATTAATATTAATAACGGAATATCTTAATTATGCTATTACTAACCATATTTAAAATTGGAATTATTTTTTATCAAAAATTAAGTTGATATTAGTTTCAATAATTTTTTCACCTTTATTTATTAATGTGAATTTTTTTTATGTAGAAAAAATTATGTCATAATCATATATACCCATGCGTGGGAGAAGTTTAAAACGACTAATATCATGGTAGCATTATGCC